ACCGGTGCCTGCCCCTGCAGAGCTCCGGGCTGGTTCCCCAGGCTCCTCGCCCCCGTGCTCTGACCTTGGGAGCGGAAGCCCCCCTGGTGCCTTCCTCCCTCCAGTGTAGGAGAGCAGAAAGAGCAATGCGTGTGTCACGGAGAGTGGGGGTCTAAGGCTGGATGGTCCCTGAGCCTGGGTCACGCTCTCTATAAAATATCAAGATGGCCTTCTGTTATCATGCTTCGGCCTTTGCTCCTGATTCTCAGAGCACAGAGAGGGTACAAGCACCTCCAGGACCTGACCCTCGCCTGTCTTTCCAGTACGTGTATTTCTCTTGCCTCGCATCGCCCCACCCCTATTCCCCTGAACCCTGAATTACTTGTCAGCCTCCACACGCCTTTGGTCATGCTGTCCCCTCTGGTGGGAATGCCCTGGCCCTCCTCTCTGCAGATACCCCCTCCTTCAGGGAGCCCTCCTGGCTGCAGCCAGAGTGGCTTGAGGCACCTCTGACCATCCACAGACCCAGTGTCTGGCTCTGTCCCTGCTCTCAGTGCTCCTGGGGTCCCTTCAGTTCTCCTCACTTTCCTCCTCTGCCCATGGAAAGGATGGAATTACCCCCAAACTGCCCCCTCATCCCAGCAGAGGTGGAAGGAACACTTCTGCCCCCACCCCCACTCTGTCATCGTGTATTTGCTTCCCTGCAAGGGAGGGGGTGGTCAATCCGATTCGTCAGAGCTGGGGCCACGTTTCACTGATGGGCAGGACCCGGAGTTGAAAGGTAATGTGTGGTCACCTTATGATCTCTGCCCTTCTGCTACCGGTGATGAGGCCAGCTGGTCTTTCTCTCTCTCAATTCTAGCTCTTCATACGAGGGTCTTTGGGAGAAAGATATCCTTAGACCCAAGAGAAAGAAAGTTAGACACTGCAGGCCTTGCTTCAGCCTTCTGACCTCAGCTGTGTCCTCCCCACACCCGTGTTCAGGTAGTAATACATAAACTGGCGCCTTGTTTTCCACCCTTAAATATACTCCCATGGTCAGACACCTGGAGGGAAGGAAGGGTGATGGAGTCCTGACCCTCAGACTTCCACACTGATTTATAATTGTGTGTGTAGGTCAGAGGACTTGCTAGCATGACTCCCAGAGACATCGGAGAAAATGACCCAGTCCTGAGTTCCAAAGTGCTCTAGAATTGGGCTGTACTCACCCTGTAGATTGGAGGGTGGTGGCTGAGGAGTTAGTTCATTTCTGCCCGAATGGCCTATGGTCATATTTCACATTATAAAGCTCTGAGATCGGTGAGGTATACCTGGCTCAGGTGAGGTGATCTCAGGCATGTGTACAGTTGCTCCAACCATGGATGGGTGGGCTGGTAGATCAATGGGTGAATGGGTGGATCAACGGGTGAGTGGGTAGGTGGATAATGGATGGGTGGATGGCTCATTGGAGGATAAATTGATAGACAGCATGGCGTGAAGGGTGACATCCATGGTCCCAGAAGGTCTGATAGGACCCTCCCTCTTTCAGACACCCTCATGTACAACTGTGCACTCCTTGGTAAACATTTAGCCCAGGAACCTGCCCCTCTCTATTTTAAAAAGTGTCGCTGGTCTCACTGCCACATATCCTGACTGTGCTGACATTTTTCAGCATCCTTGAGATAAATAACTTCTCTCTGAATGATCCAGTGACACCCATGTCTCACCTTTCTGACAATGTGCACTTATTACTGACCTTTGTCAATATACGGGATACATAGAAGACCTCTTCTGTGCCCCTCAGGTCTTCTCTGTCCCATGTCTCTGGGGCTGAGACCATTTGTTCCATCTCGGCCATCACTGCAGCAACCAATTCTGCTGGGCTCCACCAATTTCATATACACAGACCCAACAGCGCCTCACGTCCACAGGCAGCTGTTCACTGTCAAACTCATCATGGAAGGTGCAAATCACAAGTGTGTGTGTGTGTGTGGGGGGGGGGGGGGGGTTAATGCCCTAAAGGGCTAACATCTGGGAAACAGGAACCCCTGGATGAATTCTCATCCTTTCTTCCCTCTGCAAGGGGGTCTTGTGACACAGGTGTTCCTACAGTCTCTCAGAAGGGTCCTTTGAGAGTAAGTGCTCAGTTGCACATGATACTGAGGTGTCACCAACCCAATGACATGCCCCCTTCCCTGCTTCACTCCTCTTCCCCGCTGAGCATGGACTTCTGGTTTCTGGGGAACCCAGGCTAAGACCTGATTATTGCTTTACTGATTTCTATTACTCTTTTTTTTTTTTTTTTTATCCTCACCCGAGGATACTTTTCCATTTTTTGCACAGATAGAGTGGGAGGGAGAGAGAGGAAGGGAGAGAGAGTGAGAAACATCGACGTGAAGGGACACATCGAGTGGCTGCCACCTGCACGACCAGCCAGGGCCGGGGACAAACTGCAACCGAAGTACATGCCCTTAGCGGGAACCAAACCCGGGTCTCTCCGGACCGCAGGCCGACGCTCTAACCGCTGAGCCAAACTGGCCAGGGCTCTATTACTCTTTATACAATATAGTTTGGGTTAAATAAAAGATTTTGGGACATAATTAGAGGTTCAGCATGTTTAGCATCTGCCTCCCATGCCAGGCTCCCAGCCATTCATTTCGGGATCCCCAACGTCAAGTAGAAGGTTGGAATTCTTTATCATACCTCACCCTTCTCTTACTCTTTTCCACAAAATTAATCACATTGAGAAAGTTCTCATCCTGGATACTTCAGTTTTCTGCCATGTATGGTCTTCACACTCAGCACTGTCTTTTTCAGAGGGGTTACTTTTTTTAACTTGTTTGCAGAATTTGAAAAAAGCAAAAAGAATCACTAAAGCCTTCTAAGGCAGGCTGGAAAATGGTGGTCCCAAAACATATCCACATCCCAATTCTTGTAATCCAAGAATGTTTCCTCATTTGGCAAAGCCTTTGCAGGTGTGATTAAGTCAAGGCTTTTGAGATGAGAAGATAATTCTGGATTACATGGTAGACCCTAAATCTATCACATGTATCCTTATAAGTCTGATGCAGAGGCCAACTTCACACATACACAAAGAGAAGGCCATGTGTGTGATCACAGAGCAAAGAGAGAGTTTAAAGATGTTGGTCTTGAAGATGGGAGTAATGGGGCCACTAGTCAAAGAATGCCAGGAGCCCCCAGAAGCTGGAACAGGCAAGGACTGTATTCTCCCCTAGGGTCTCTGGCGGGAGCATGGCCCTCCTAACACCTTGACTTTAGCTCAGTGATACTGATTTCAGACGACTGGCCTCCAGAACTGTGGGCAAATAACTTCCTATTGTGTTTAAGCATCTCAGTTGGGGCGATTTGTTACAGCACCCTCAGGGAGCCAGTGCCGCTTCTTCCTCCACAGGGCCCCCAGAATCACCTCCGAGACCAGCCCTCCATGAATGCAGTCTGTCCTTTTATGATGTTTCTACTTCCCAATGCCTATTGCTAACTCAGGGTTTGCTTTCTTTAATTTGTTTCTAATGATTTTCCGAAGTCTGGTATTTAGCCAAAAAAGAGCATGAACAGTGATCACAAAGTAGATTTCACTGTGAACCGTAACCATGAACTAGATTTCATTTTTCTGGGAGAGAATGTTTGGATCTAACTTGCCCCTCATCACATTCTCCCCAGGCCCCCCACTTGCTTTAAGCCCAGTCCATCCAACAGGTCAGTGTTTCTCAAAATGGGGCTTGAGGCTCACCTGGGTTGAATCACCTGAGGCACTCTTTAAAACTGCTAAAGTCCAGGACTCTCCCTCAAACTTACTAAATAAACATTTTTTTGGCTGACCTGCAGAAATCTGCACTTTTAACAGGGCTCCCAGGTGATTCTGAGCAACAGAGCGGTTACCCCAGGGCAGGGAATGGGAACGGAACAGATGGGGGACATGGACAGGGGTGGGGGAGGCTCTTCACTCTCTATATGATTATACTTGGGGGTGGAACCATGTGGGTGTGATTCTGAGTACAGAACCTCTACTACGGAAGAAAGAGGTCATAACTGACCCCACAGCACTTCTCCCCAGGGCTCGCGGCCAAGCCGCTGACTCTGGGCCAGGTGCTCCGCTTATCTGGGGAAGCCACTCCCATGCCCCACGATTGGATGCTTGTGATGAATGCTGAGCTCATGGAGGAACCCAAACAGTCCCATCCCCTCTTGCATTTATACTGAAAAACAGCTGCAAAGGTGTTGGGAGAGCCAGGGACCCCAGATGCTTTCGAGAACATGAATCACCATTAGGTAATTCATGTTAATTTACCTTTTTAATTAAGAAGACCTTCACCAAACAAAAATAGCTTACAGAGGCATGTACCCTTTGATCTTGCAATGCCACATCTGGGAATTTATCCTTCAGAAATGCTTTACGCTCGTACATATGTACAAGATTATTCACAGCAGAACTGATTATAACAGCAGCCAAAGACTGGAAATAATCCAAGTGCCAGCACTGTGGAACTGATGAAATAAATTACAGCACATTCATTCAATGAAAAATAATGAGGAAACTGTATATGTAATGATATGGAAATGTCTCCAAGATAGATTGTTAAGGGGAAAAGCAAGGTGCGGAACACATGTGTAATATGCTACCTTTTGTGTATAAAAGGGGAACAATGAGAACCCTCATTCCGATTTGCTTGTATATTCATCAAGAAATGCTGGAAGCATCTATAAAAACAGAGCGGTTACCCCAGGGCAGGGAATGGGAACTGAACAGATGCGGGACATGGACAGGGGTGGGGGAGGCTCTTCACTCTATATACGATTATACTTGGGGGTTTGGAACCATGTGGGTGTGTTATTTATTCAAAAAGTAAATAATAAAATAAAAATGTAAGCAACCATTTATTATGGCCCTCAGAGCCAGCAGTCTGGTCTGGTTCTCCGCCCGGCGACTCTTGGTGTGCACGTGGAGCTCGGCGGACGGCGCGTCTCCCGGCCTCTGCCGTGCCCGCGGGTGCCCTGGTTGGAGGGGTGCTCCGGACCACGACGCAGACTTGCACTGTCCCGACGGCAGTGGGAGGACAGGTCTCTGAGTTCCTACCGAGGAGACCCAGCTCCACAAAGGCTGGGATTTCGGTCCACGGAGCACTAGGCAGCTCCAGGAGAGGTGGGTCCCCGGGCTGCCTAGTACGGAGGCATCAGCTGCTCCCGGCTCACGCGGGAGGAGTGGTGGTAGCGGTCCCGAGTGGCGAAGTCTGCGTTCTCCTGGGTGAGCTGCGTCATCTCCATGTCAACCCTAGCCAGGGACGGCGCCACAATGATCTGCTCTGTTGGGGATCGCAGGCTGCTTTGGGGAGAGAAACACAGAGGACGCTCAGGAGGAAAGGCCACACGCTAAGCAGTGACCATGAGTCTTCCCTGAGATAGAAAGACCAACTGTGCTTATTATTGAACACGTACGTATAAGACATAACTGTTGAAAGCTACATGCACGACAGCTATGCCCAAAGTATGAGAAATACGTATGGAAAATAAGGAGAGAAGTGATATTGACCTTTCTTTAGCAGAAATGTATAAAATTGCACAAAATAACCGTTCAAATAGTGTCATGTTGGGACTCTAGCATTTCTTTGCTTTGTTGGCAAATAAAATAAGGGAATGGAGAGGCTAAAGAATTGAGAAGAGCAGAAGGGAAACCTCTCTGGTTCCCCGGACAGCGGAGGGAGGAATGAGTTCCAGAGCTACGGCCGACCTAGGGAGATGGACCACACAGCCTTTGACACCAAGTTGGCCTGAAGACAAAGAACAAGTCCCGATATGGACCCCACGGTCACTGGGTGCCTACGGACAGCTGGAGTTGGGATAAACCTGGACACACCAGGACAGTGGCAGAGGCAGAAAGGGTTAGGGAGGAGCAGACCGCAGCCAGGTATGCACAGAAGACGGACAGGTCACAGCTGAGCCAAACCGGCCAGGGCCCAATGTCTACTTCTAAATAAACCACCATTTCTTGGTCCTTTCACCCTCCTAAACAACCATCACAAAACCTCCCTCAGTCGCCATGGTGAGGCCGGCAAGTCTGATGCTGAGGCTTAACTGAAGCCTCCATCGCCCACTTCACAAGCCCACAGAGCTATGAATAGTGCGGACCGGGTTCTATTCCAACCAAAGTACTGCCGGCCCTTTTCTAAGAATAATCTCCTCCTAATACATTCTTCTTTCTACATAGCATGACAGTGACCTCAGAGGTGAAATTCTAGGAATTCAGAGTGCAACATGAGGAGCAGTGGCCTCCCATGGCCATGTGTAGGCTTTAAAACTGCCGATGCTGCTCGGGCCGGTTTGGCTCAGCGGTTAGAGTGTCGACCCACAGACCACAGCGTTGTGGGTTTGATTCTACTCAAGGGCACGTGCCTCAGTTTCAGATCCATCCCAGCCCTGCTTGGAGTCATGTGTGGGAGGCAACCATTGGAGCACAATGATGTTTCTCTCTCTCTCTCTTCCTCCCTCCCTCACTCCCTCCCTCTCTATCTGAAAATCAATGGAAAAGGATCCTCCGGTGAGGACTTAAAAATAAATAAATAAAACTGCAAATGCCTAAAATTATTCCTGTAAATCAGATAGAGCCAAATACTCTTACCACTCATCGCTTCCAACTCCAGATCTGTAGGCAGCCTCTACACAGAAGCCATTTCCACTGAAACTACTTTTCCTAGGTGACTGGGAAAAGAGATCAATGCGGGAGTGTTGTGACCGGAGTCACCCAACCTGGTGCCTCAGGCTGGAAGAGGCGGAGAGGCAGCCCCAGCCCTCCTCCACACAGAACGTTTAGCACAGCTTCCAGGCAGATGACAGGATTCACACACACACACACACACACACACATACACACACACACCACCCTCCCTCCCTCTATCAGTTTCCATAGCTCTGGCTCCTTTGTCTTCATCATCCCAGGCTCTAGCACCAAGGTTTCATTTCTTGTGCAATCTGGAACAAATTGGTAGTGCTTATAAAGACTTGCCTTAAAAAGGATTCTTGGAAAGGAGGAAGGGAGAGTTATTGTTTAATAGATACAGTGTTTCTGTTTTTGCAAGACAAGAGTTCTGGAGATGCTGGTAGTGATGGTCACTCAACAATATGAATGTACTTAATAACACTGAACTGCACACTTAAAAATAAGATGATAGCCCTGGCCAGTTTGGCTCAGCGGTTAGAGCGTCCAGTCCAGAGAGACCCCGGTTTGGTTCCCGCTAAGGGCGTGTACTTCGATTGCGGTTTGTCCCCGGCCCTGGTTGGGTCATGTGGGTGGCAGCCACTCAATGTGTCCCTTTCACGTCAATGTTTCTCTCGCTCTCTCTCCCTCCCACTCTGTCTGAATGAAAAAATGTCCTCGGGTGAGGATAAAAAAAAAAAAAGATGATACATTTTATGTTCTATGTATTATATCATAATTTTTAAAAATGGGGAAAAAGGGATTCTGAATGAACATCTGGGATCAAAGGGAAAGGGTTCCATAATCCAGGAGCAATGTCTGGGATGGAGGGTGGAAATGTTGGCAAGTGCAACCCAGACATCTAGAGGTTCAGAAACAAACCAACAAAATAAAACCAAATAAATGCTTGGTTGGGTTCTGCCTAGGCTTTCCCAGCCTGCAGCTGTGGTTCTTCACTGGTACTGAAGGAGGAAGGTGGAGTAACATTGTCTCTGGAGGGTGAAGGAGGAGGAAAGAGATTAGAGCACTCACGAAATCTTATCTTCCCTCCGAGCCTTCTCCTGTTTCTCAGGAAAGTCTGCTCTTCCCTTCCCCTGGGTATTTGAACACGGAGGTGCCACAGAAATCCTCCAGGATCTCCACTATCTATTCCTGTACTCGGCTTCTGCACTTCCACCAACAGTCAAATCCACAACCTCTGATTTGAGGTGGAAGAACAGGAGTCCTTTGGGCCTTCCTCTTGTGCGATGATGCATTGAGGCTAGTGTGTCTTAGACTGTGGACTCGCTGAGAGTAGCTCTCTCGACAGCACCCAGCAATTAGATTCTAAATAAACCTCCCTCTGTTCATGATTCTGGGGATAAGAAGGCGAGAGGACATGAGCCAGAGGAAGCTTCTGGTGAGCGAGGCGGGGAGCTGGTGGCGGAGGGCAGTGAGGAGCAGAATCTGAGTCCCCTCGAGGTTCTCAGTGGTCAGGTTCCTGCACTGCAATTCACCCAAGCCCAGCGAGGAACAGGACATGCTCAGCACTTCCCAGGCCCATGGGACACAGATTAGCACTGACCTGCAGGAGGGGATCAGAAAAGACCTCATCCATCTGAAAAAGCTGAAGTTGGAGGCCGATCCTATAGGGAAGACATATATGAATATCGATGAAGGCTTTAGGTATGCATCTAGAATCCCGGTTTTAATAAAATACACATCCCTTGATAGACACGCACAATTAATACAATTTTTTTCCTTTTTCAGTCTAACTAAAGAATCTTTATTGTAATATTCCCTGACAAATGCCTGCTAAGGACTTCATACCCAAGATGTAGTTTCCACAAATTTACTTCTAAATCCCAAAATCCCAAGAAAGAAACGGAATACAGTACTATAGAGGGGAAAAAAAAAAAAGATGACTTGCTAACTTCAGTCTTAGGACTTTAAAAAATTTTGATAATACTTTTTTCTTAGATTCAAGCTATGTGTAATGTATGTGCTATAAAACCCCCAACTAGACCATACGCCCTTTGAGGATAGAAAGTATGTCTTTTTCATCTTTAACACTCACAGTACATGCCCACAGGGACTGGCACTCAGGAAGCTTTTCTTTTTAAGTTGATTAGCCCTTTTCTAATCAGTGTGTGTGATGTCAGAATATTTGGTCAGTATCAACAACAATCTCACTTCAGACTTTAGCTCTAACATTTCTCCATGTTGAGCTATTTAATTCACTTAACACCTGTGGACAAACTACATGCTTTTATTTTATTTTATTTTATTTTATTTTATTTTATTTTATTTTATTTTCCCTTTATTGATTTTAGAGAGAAAGGAAGTGAGAGGGAGAGATAGAAACATTGATGAGAGAGAACATCGATTGGTTGCCTCCTGCATACCCTGCACTGGGGATCTGGCCCACAACCTGGGCATGTGCCCTGGCCAGGAATCAAACTGGCGACCTCTTGGTGCATGGGTCGATGCTCAACCACTGAGCCACACCCGCAGGACCAAACTACATGTATTTAAAGTGTACCATTTAGTAAGTGTTGACACATGTATTACACTGTGAAACCATCACCCCAAGCAAGATCATAAGTATATCCATCACCTCCCAAAGTGTCCTCAAGCTACTTCATATCAACTCCCTGCTATGCCTCCCCACCCCCACCCCTATCCAAAGGCAAGCACTGATTTGCTTTCATTCTAGGTTAGTCTGTGTATTTTCAATATAAAATAATACACTATCTACTCTTTTTGTCTGGTTTCTTTTACTCAGCAGAATTATATGAGATTCATCCATGTTACTGCATGTGCCTTTTATTACTAAGTATTCCATTGGATGGCCATACTACAGTTTATTTATAGTTGTCTATTAATGGACATTTGCATTGTTTCTGGTTTGGGGCTATTACAAATTAAACTGCTGTAAATATTCATGCTGGTGCTTTTGTATGCTTTCAATCTTTTGGGGTAAATACCGAGGCGGATGTTGGCTGGTTCATGTAGCAGGTATATGTTTAACTTTTAATAACCTGCCAAACTGTTTTACAAAGTGATAGTATTATTTTATTTCCTACCCGCAGTTATGATAGTTCTGGTTGCTCCCCATCCTTGCCAGCACTTGGCATGATCAGTATTTCCAATTTTAATCCCTCTAATAGGTGTGCAGTTGCATTACACTGTGGTTTTAACTTGCATTTCCTAAGGACTAATCACGTTGAGCATCTTTTCATGTGCCTATTTGCCATCCACATATGTTCTTTGGTGAAATCTATTTAAAACTTTGCCCATTTTTAAAAATCTTTTTGTTTGTTTTTATTATTGAGTTTTGAGAGTTTTTATATATTCTAGATGTAAGTCCTTTATCATATATATGATTTACTAATATTTTCTCACAGTCTAATCACTTTCCTTTGCATTCCTTTACCCGTGTGTTTATATCGGAGTCCCTAGTTTGATGAAGTCAAATTTATCAACTTTCCTACTTTTGGTATTATATCTAAGAAATCTTTGCCTCATTCACAGTCACACATTTTTTCCCCTATACTTTCTTTTAGAGATTTTATAGGTTTAGGTTTTGCATTAAGTTCTAGGGTCCATTTTTTAGTTATTGTTACATTGTATGATAGGTGGATTAAAGTTTACTTTTTGCATATGGATTTCCAGTTGTTCCAGCACAATTTGCTGAAAAGACTATTTTTTTCCTCCACAGAATTGCCTTAGTGTCTTTCTTGAAAATCAACTGACCATATATATATATGAGTTAACTTCTGGACTCTCTGTACCGTCCACTGACATATTTGTCTACCTTGATTTCAATAGCATGCTGTCCTGATTACTTTACTTTAAAATCAGTCTTCAAATCAAGGAGTGTAAGTTCTTCAACTTTGTTCTTCTTTTACCAAGTTGGTTGGGCTATTCTAGGTCCTTCAAATTTCCATGTAAATATTTTATTTTATTTTATTGCTTTTGAGAGAGAGAAACTGTGACATGAGAGAGATACATCAATCAGTTGCCTCTTGCATGTGTCTGGACCAGGAACTGGGGAGTTGAAGCCCAACCCGGGTATGTGCCCTGACTGGAAATTGAACCCATGATCATCCTGTGCATGGGACAATGCTCCGACTAACTGATCCATACTGGCCAGGGCCCATATACATATTTTAGAGTCTGCATGCCAACTTCCACAAAAAAAGGCAGCAGAGATTTTGATTGGGATTATGTCGAATTTATAGAACAATTTGGGGAGAATTGAAGTCTTAAGAATATTGAATCTTCCAAACATGAACATAGTCTATCTCTTCATTTGTTTCTTTGATTTCCTCTCAGAAATGTTTTAGTTTTCCTTTTCTAGTCTGTAAATATGATGAATTATGTTAATAATTCAGAATGTTAAACCAACCTTGAATTCCTGAGAAAAATCTACTTGGTTATGATATATTACCATTTTTATATTTTTTAATTCAACTTGGTAAAACTTTGTTATGAATTTTTATATCTATGTTCATGAGGGATACTGGTGTATAACTTCAAAGAGTTTGTATAGAATTTATATTCTTTCTTTCTTAAATGTTTGGTAGGTTTCATTAGTGAAGTCATCTGGGCCTAGAGTTTTCTGTGTGGAAAGATTTTAATAACAACTTAATTTCTTTTCTAGATGACTTAAATAGCCATATCTTTCTGCTGGAGTAAACTCTGACAGTGTGTATATTTCAAAGAATTGTTCTAATCCATCTAAATTATCACATTTATTGACATAAAGCTGTTTAAAATATTTCTTTATTTTCCTTTTAATATCTGTAGATTCTCTAGTAATGTCATATTCCTCACTTCTGATCTTGGTCATTTTTACCTTCTCTCCTTTTATTATGATTACTCTGTCTAAAGGTTTGTTAATGTTATTGATCTCACATAACCAGCTTCTTATTTCATTAGCATTCTTTACATTTTTTCTGTTTTAAATAGTATTAATTTCTGCTTTTATCTTCATTGCTTCTTTCTTTGTTTCTCTTATTTTGTTTGATTTGCTCTTCTTTCTCTAGTTTCTTTCTTTTTTTTTTTTTTTATCCTCACCCGAGGACATTCTTCCATTTTTTGTTCAGGTAGAGTGGGAGGGAGAGAGAGGAACAGAGAGAGAGAGAGAAACATCGACGTGAAAGGAACACATCGAGTGGCTGCCACCTACACAACTGACCAGGGCTGGGGACAAACTGCAACCGAGGTACGTGCCCTTAGCGGGAACCGAACCCGGGTCTCTCAGGACCGCAGGCCGACGCTCTAACCGCTGAGCCAAACCGGCCAGGGCTAGTTTCTTAAGTTGGAAGCAGGGGTCATTCATTTGAGACCTTTCTTCATAAACATTTGATGCTATAAACTTCCTTCTAAGTATTGGATTAGCTGCACCCCACAATTTTAATGTTATAGTTTAACTTTCATTCAGTTTGAAATACTTTATAATTTGACTGATTATTTCTTCTTTGAACCGTGAGCTATTTTGTTTCTTTAGTTGATTTAGCATTGTTGAGTGTTTCATAGTTATTTAGTGTTCTTTAGTTTCTAAATATTTGTTTCAGATATCTGTCTGGTATTTATTTCTAATTTACTTTCCCTTTGGTCAGAGAACATACTTTGTGTTGAATTAACTTGAGTACCTTTAAATATATTGAGACTTTTTATGTCCTAAAATATGTTCTATCATGGTAAATATTTCTTTTATACTTAGCGGGAACCGAACCCGGGTCTCTCAGAACCGCAGGCCGACACTCCAACCACTGAGCCAAACCGGCCAGGGCTTCTTTTATACTTAAAAAGAACATATATTCTAGTGTTGTTAGGTACATTGTTCTATAAATCTTAGGTTGTCCAGGTTTGTTGATAATGTTATTCAAGTCTTCTAAAGTCTTATTAATTTTATACCTATTTATCAGTTATTGAGAGAGAGGTGTTAAATATTCTGATATAATTCTAAACTTTTCTATTTCTTTTATTATCCTCACCTGAGCGGGAAGGAGAGAGAGAAAGAAACATCGATGTGAAAGAGACAAATTAAGTGGCTGCTACTCACACGACCCCAACTGGGGCCGGGGACAAACTGCAACTGAGGTACGTGCCCTTAGCGGGAACCAAACGAGGGACTCTCCGGTCTGCAGGCCGACACTCTAACCACTAAGCCAAACCAGCCAGGGCAACTTTTCTATTTCTTGTTACATTTATACCAGATTTGCTTTATATATTTCAAAGCTGTTTTTAAGTACATAATAGTTAAGGTTTATTATGTTCCCTTGATGAATATTTTCCTTTATCTTTATGAAATAACCCTCTTTATCCCTGGTAATATTCTTTTCTCTACAAGTTACTTTGCCTGGTATTATATAGTTACTCCAGCTTTGTTTTGATTCATGTTATCATATCTTTTCCCATCCTTTTACTTTTAACTTATTTTGTGTCTGTCTATCTATCTATCATCTATCTATCTATCTATCTATCTATCTATCTATCTATCTATCTATCTGTTTTGAGAGAGAGAGAAAAATCAGTATGAGAGAGAAACATCAATTGGTTGCCTCCCAAACGACCCTGACCAGGGCTGGGGACAAACCTACAACCCAGGTACATGCCTGTAACCAGGAATCAGACCCTCGACCCTTCAGTGCAGGGGTCAACGCTCTAACCACTGAGCAACCGACCAAGGCTGTGTCTTTATATTTATAGTAGGTTTCTTGTAGGTAGCATATGGTTGTATCATGCTTTTTTATTCAATCTGACAATCTCAGTGTTTTGACCACTTTATTGAAAGTGTTTAGACCATTTTTTTTAGTGTGATTATTGATATGGCTAGGTTTATATAAACAGCCTTGTTATTTTCTGTTTGTCCCATATGCCCTTTTCTTTTTTTTCTGCTTTATTTTGATTTGAGCATTTTTAAATTCAATTTTATATCCTCTGTTGGCTTACTATCTATAACTCTTTGTTATTTTTTAATGATTGCTCTAGAGTTTGTAGTACACATTTGTAATTTATCACAGGCTATCATCTCTAAATGATATAGTACTTCACATACAGTATCAGAAACTTAAAATAGTATATTTCCATTCTTCCCTCTGGCCCGTGTGCTATTATTGCCCATCATTTTTCTTCTACATGTCTTGTAGATCTCACAAGTTATTTTTTATTTGTTATCATTTATGTGCATGTCATATTTTTCCTCCTAGACTGTAAGCTACTTGAAAATGGGATTTATATCTGAGTCGGTGTTGGCACTTAATAGATGCTGAAAACACATTTCTTCAATGGACGCTAGAAGAGAAGGAGGGAGGTGCTGGCAAAACAGCTCCCCTGCTTACCCAGGTGAAGCCCTGGACTCGCCCGGCCAATGTAGAAATACACAATGGCAGCAACACACATGTTAATCAAGGTGTAGACCCACTGGATCACAAACATGATCAGAAGGGACCCAACAGCCTGTGAAAACAGAGAGGAAAGGCAAGTGACCTACTGGTTTATCACATGGTCATCAAACCATGAGGCTAGAACCTTAAGAAACAACAGTCCCTCTCATCAACCTCTGATCATTATGAACGTCTGCTTAATTAAAGTTCACTCATAATTTAAAAAAAAACTCACTTAAGCAGATATTTGAGAAGACACCCTCTGAAAGTACCCTCTAATCAAAATCGTCAATAAATATTCGATCCTAGCTCCTTGATCTACTTTTCCCTAGAAGAATCAAAGTGGGATTATGCTAATTTGGTATACCTAGAAATTTAGTGACCAGAGGTTATCAGAGGTGATTAATTATTTTACAAGTAAACCAGTGATTAAAATAAGTGATGTGCTAAATGTAATCTTGCCATATATAGTTTCACCTAAATTCCAATATAACAGGTAGTTAAATCACGTTGTTCCTAGTTATGACTCTCCTCTTTCCTCCCCACAGCCCCAACCCTGAGATCACACATTGTCTCTTCCTGAATTATGGAGATCAAAATGAAGCTACTCACCCCCAACAGTGAGACCCAGGGGTTGCACATGCGAGCATAGAAAGAAGTAGGTCTGCTCTGGATATCTTGTTCCAGGAACCTAGACTTTAGGAAGACATCTAAAAAATAAATAAGCCAAATTCTTGGTTACCAATCCGTTACCAAATCCTCTTCTATTTTTTATGAGCAAATACCTAAGAGCTCTTCTTCTCCAATTTTGTAACTCATCCTAAAAGACAACTTCCACTTACTTCAACCAGTAACTCCTTTGTGGTCTTAGTCAACTCATTCTCCTACTCTCTGATGTAACAAGTTTACAATCTCTCCTCTCAAAGGAGAGCGTTCATATCCTCTCATCACCAGATCTACCAACCCAACTGCATGTGAACCTTCTCTTCTGCCTTCCCTCCTTGTACAGTGAATGAACAGTCCCGGCTTCTATGTAAGGCCCATCCCTCCACTTGTGTCCTGCTCAAGGATTTTGCTTTTGCATCTTTGATTTTTCCATCATATATCGAATAATTCCCATCAAATACAAATATTCTACACTGCAATTTCTCTCACTCAAACAAATGCCTTCTGGTCAACCCCGAGTTACTGCTCTATTTGTCTTCCTTACAACAAAATTCCTCAAAAAGAATTGTCTATACATTATTTGCCTCCCATTATTTCCTCAACTCACTCATAAGATTGTAAGATTTCACTAAAACTACTCTTCCTAAAGTTACCACTAACTTGATCTTTTCAAATTCAATGGTCAACTCCCAGTCCTCATCCTTCCTGGCTTTTCACACAGCAACTGACCCATGTGGTCACTTCCTGCTTATTGAAACACCTATTTCTCTTGGTTTCTAGGATGTCTCCCTGTCATGCTTTTCCTTCTGTCTCACTGCCCACTTCTTAGTCTCCTTTGCTGGCTCACTTCCTCATTCCAACCCCCAAATATTGTAGTATCCTAACATTCATTCAATCCTCAGCACTCTTTTTTTTTTTTCCATATATATTTACTCCTAGGAAATCTGACCTAGTCCCATGGCTTTAAATACTATCTTTAGACTGCCCTGGTAGGTTTGGCTCAACGGTTAGAGTGTCGGCTCAAAAACCAAAGAGTCTTGGCTTTAATTCCCAGTCAAGAGCACGTAAATGGGTTGCAGGTTTGATCCCCAGCAGGGTTATGTGGGCAGCAACCAATCAATGTGTCTCTCACGTTGATGTTTCTCTGTCTCTTTCTCCCTCCCTCCCTCTCTTCCTCCCTCCCACTCAGTCTAAAAAAAAAAAAAAAAAAGAAAGAAAGAAAAAAGAAATCAATGGAAAAATATCCTTGAGTGAGGATTACAAAAATAAAATAAAACAAAAATAAATATTATCCATATACTGACGATCCAAGTTTACATCATCCTTGACCCTTGAACTAAAATTTTTTTATTATCTTGTTTTCTTCTCAATATCCCCTTTCACTTGACTAACAAGCACCTCAAGCCTTAGCAAGATTAAAGCAGAAATCTATTGTTCCCAAGTCTTCTTCATCGGAATAAATGACACAACCATCTTCCTCACACGTACATCTATTCCATCGGAAAATCCTCTTGATTCTACCATCAGAATATGACTACTCCTTACCACGTGCATTGCTCCCATCCCAGTCCAGGGCCCTCGCATCTCGTTTACTGCAGTGCACTCCTGCAGTAGAGACCACAGCGAGAGCACATTTCCCAGAATCTCTTGCAGTTTGGTGTGGCCATGTGACTAAATTCTCACCAGTGAAATCTTAACAGAAGTTGTGAGTGCCACTTTTTCACCAAGATCTTTGACAGAGAAAGTATGTCCTTTCTCTGTGCCTGAAATCTGAACATAGTCAGTCAGTCTTGACTTTGCACATGACAAGGTCCTAGGGAATGGAGGGAGCCCAGGTCTCTGAATCAATGCATGGAGAAGAGCCTCCCACTGATTTGGAACACCCTTCTGGACTGTTGGTGCAGGAGAGAAACCAATTTCCATTGTATTTAAGCCTCTACATATTTGGTTATTTCTTATAGCAGTTTATCCTACCTTAATTAATATACCTCCAAATAGGCGTTGGCTCCTTCTCTTACCTCTATATAATACATTCCTCACAGTCAGTAATCTTAAAGCCAGAATCTGATCATATCACAGCTCTAGCTAGAACCTTTGGTGGTCTTCTATCACAGTCATGGCCCTACACAGTGCTGACTTCCTCTCTCCCCACAGTATTCATCTCCCCCCTCTCTCCCTTGGCCCACTCTTGTCCAGTCACTGCTGGACCACTGCTCTTCTTGGAATCTGCCAATCCAATTCCTACCTGTACCTGCAGACATGCCATTTCCTCTGCCTGGAACTCTTCCTCCACATTCTGCATGGCTCACTACTTTATACAGTTCAGTTCTCCATTAAAGCATCCTCTTCTCAGAGAGATCTTTTCTGACACACCTATCTGAAGCAGTACCCTCTCTCCCCACCTAGTCTCTATCCATCACCTCACTTTATTACTCATCATAGTACCTGACATTACAGTATATATTTATTTATGTGTCTTCCCCTACTAGAACACAAGCTCAATAAGAGCAGAGATCCATGTCTATTCAGCATGTTCCCCAGCACCTAGAATAGTGCTTAGAATGTAGTAAATGTTCCATTCATGTGGCTAAATGAATGAACAAACCATCCTAGCCCTCAGAGAAGTTGTCATCTTCTCAACATCTGTCTTTCTTCATCATGTGCTGCCAACTATTACACTTACCTTTCATCCTTCCATACCTGAGGTCAAGGACTATCATTTATATCTCCATATGCCAAATCTAGACATTTAGAAGTTCGTGTATAGGAAGTGCTCAAAAAATGTCTCCTTATTAATTATGCATTGAAAAAGCTCTGCCAAGGTTAATGATTTATTAGAATTAATGGCTCTGTTACTTTTTTTAAAAAAAGAAAGAATACTGTTATAGTTCCATTAACTAAATTGTACAATTTTAACATGCTCAATGCATTATTCATTTTTTTCAATCATAGGCTTAGTGAAGTACAGTTGCCCCCTTGGTTATTAAAAAGGAACACTATTGGTTAAGGACTTAGATTTTTGCCTCTCTGAGATTTGCCAAATACCGTATTAAGCTCACCTTTTCACACTTGGTCTTGCACAATATTAATTACACATTAATTACACATAATGGAATTGTATGTGTGTGTGTGGGTGTGTGTTGCTTTCTCTGAGGAACTCAGGAAGGGATATGTTTTCTAACCAAGCACAAAGTAGTCTTATACATCAACAATGTGAGGGATTCATGCTAGGATGCGCAGTGACTTTGAGTGGGTATGACAACACAGGCAGGCAATGTGGTTTCAAACCCCTTCCAAATCACTAAAGAAATTTTTATCTTTTGTCAAGGATTTTGCTGGAAAAAACAAGCCTTGTAGATTATTGATGGAAGGGGATATTTTTCATATTAGACATTTGAGAATAATGACCAGGAAGGCAACTTTACTTTTCAAGTCTTAGTTGCAAAACAAATATACAAGTAAACAAAACCACGCATCAGGCATGTTAAAAATATCAAATATTTAAAAACATTAAAAATATAATATTATAGTATCTTTAAAAAAAAGTGGTATGTCTAACAAATACAATGTTCACAAAACCCATGCAGATATAAACACAGTAAACATGAAGGGTGAAGACAATTATGTTAATTTTTTAAATTGTGAATTTAAGTAATTTTATAGAAATTACTGGGAAATTCCCTGGCCAGTTTGGCTCAGCGGTTGAGCATTGACCTGCGGACCAGAGAGTCCTGGGTTCGGTTCCCACTAGGGGCATGTACCACAAAAAAATAATAATAAATTACTGAGAATAAATATTAAACCATCTCTACAAATGCCTCTATATCTTTATCAAAATAAACACATAATTTTAGTTACCATGTACAAACTGGGAATGTGCAGTGATCTGGTCCACACATGGTCTCGTTTCAAGTCCACGTGGTCTTTTATCATGATAACAAATTTTTTTTTTTTTTGGTACGTGCCCTTAGCAGAAACTGAACCCGGGACTCTCTGGTCCGCAGGCTGACGCTCCAACCACTGAGCTAAACTGGCCAGGGCAGTAACACAATTTTTAAAACTGCTTTCCATGCTGTACATTTAAGTTATTTCTAACTTGATTATATAATTCCCCCACATAGATTTACTAAGCCAGGACAATTAAACAGGTTTATATTTCTTGTTACATCTTTCCTTTTTTAAAAAATTTTATTGATTTTTCAGAGAGAGAGAGAAAAAACATCAATGTGAGAGAGAAACATTGACTGGTTGCCTCCACACACGCACCAACCAGGGATAAAACCGGCAACCTGGGCTTGTACCATGACCAGGAATCGAACCCACTACCCTTTGGTGTACAGGACGACACGCCAATCAATTGAGCCACACCAGTCAGGGCTCTTGTTATATGTTGAAAGATTGTTCTCCACAGAGAACGAACCAGAGGAACTTTCAGATATGGCATGTGAAAAGGTTAGAGAATCCTTTCCGTAAGAAATACGAGTACCACTAGACAAAATAAACAAAAACAATCACTCAGGGCTCCAGAAATTTACCAGATGGAGACAACAAATTAGGAAGTGTTTATTTTCAAAACCGTTGAAGCTGATTTTCCACCAGGATGCTTATCTTATTGGATGTAGGCCTGGAGCTGCCAGGGGCCAACACGTGGAAAGAGGGAACATGGCAAAAATCAGAGCTAAGAAATGGAGGACCAATTTCGAATATTGTCACATGGACACTGGGGATTTCAATGAGGAAAACATACCTTTGGAAGTTCAGAGTAATCTCCTTGGCCAGACCCCTGGAAGGCACAACCGCCGGAACCGGAGCATAAGACCCCGGAGCAGAGACCACAGAATCCTCAGTTATCTGTTCCCCACATACTATCGCTATGTTCTGTAAGTATTAATGAATAGTAACTATCCTGTACTCACCAATGTAAACTAAGTATGTGTTTCTCCATTTTGCTTGTATCCAATCTTGGAGATTTCCCTGCTTTAATTTCTCTCGCCACCAGTGGATTTCATACCACCCTCCGCACAGCTTCTTTGTTCTAATGCAT